AGTGCAGTGAGTTTTAGTTTGTGTCCTTTTTTACTGTTGCTAGGTAACAAGCGAATCACCTGTCTGTCAGGCTAACTGTGATTTTATTGTGGGGTAAACTTGCATACCTGTACATAGTATTTAAATGCAGAGGCTACATAAGTGAAACTGTTGTAGCCAGAGACACCTAAGTGTATGGAAAGTGTTTGCTCTGCAACATGTTTGTCAGGATTTTAACTGGTCATACTACTTGAAAGGGTTTGCTCCAGTGGTCAGAAAATACATTCCTTTCCTCATATTGTCCATTGCTGCAGCTCCTCTTTTCAGCCTCTGTCAGAAACACTTGTTTTTAGCTCTTGTGTCTTTGTTTGTGTGTTTAATAACCTCTTGTTTGCTGTTTCGTGAAGATAGCACATTAGCTCCAAGTCGTGAGGACACAGTCTTCCAGCCTCCACATGAACCTCATGGATGTGATGGTTCAGTCTTTTGACTGTTTATTTTGGCTCAAACTTCAGCAAAACATACCACTGATATTTACATTCAGTACATGTACACTGTGCTTTATTTGAACAGCACCAAACCATTTTGTGGCCCTTTACCCATATTTTTTGTCTTCTGATTACTAGTGACTGCATCTTTTCTTTGTGAGAGCTCTTTGTATGTAAGATAAAAAAATAAAAAAGAAACCCATCTGGTAATACGGAAGTCATAGTGAGACACTGAAATATATGGAAGTGAACTTCAAATTACCACTGCTGTCATCCATGGTGTCTGATATCACGAGCCAGCTGTTTTTACCAGGAACGCTTTTCTTGTGTAAAGTAAGACAGAATCAAGTAGATCTTAAATGCCACATGACACCGAGCCAACTCGTTTTAGGGGAGACCAGTGGCTCAGCATTGATGCGCCTGTCATGAATGTTATATTGAGGCTTGTGAGGATAATTTTCAGAGAGTCCCATTTTGAGACACCTCCCTTATATAACTGAGAGCAAAGTTTTGAGTCACTGTGATACAGGCATGATGCAATCATGAGCAGGAGGGGATTGTGGCCATAGCAAAACCCACAAAACTTTCCACTGTCCAGCAGAGTGAAGAGGAGTTAAGCTGTTGGGGTTTTGGAATGGGAGGGGCACAAGAGGGGTTTAACAAATAAAAGTTGTTCCTCTCCTCCCCATGTCTCGTCATTAGAGGTGGCACAAAGAATGATTCACTTCAGTAACACATTACTTTAGTTTTTTTAATAAGTTTAGAATTGCCATGCTGGTCTNAAAGCATCTAACAGAAGCTAGCCCATTAGGCTGTTAGCATCCACAAGCGAACCGGATGTTAGTTTGGAATTTGTCTGTTTGTCACAGTCACGGTGAGTAAATCCTCATGTTTACCATCAACCAGTAACTGTTTAACTTTCTGCTCACTGCTAACAGCTACAAAGTTTCCTGTTGGTTATCTAGATTGTGGCGGCCTCCCATATTCCAATTTGTCCCACCACAGTTTAATAATGAACCAAAACTATTTCCACTTCCCATAATAACATGAGAGATTTCTAGCTGGTGTATGCAGCACTATTTGCTGCACACTTGCTTGCACTGTTGCACTACCTGTGGATCGATCTACTGCATGCTCATGCTATGGTCCATATCATTTTTACTATCCACACAGAAAGAAAGACTTCATAGTTTCAGCTGCAGTTGTGTCATGCAATGCAGTTGTTTCCCTCATGTGAGAACTTATCTTTCACTCTTTAGTCTGTGTACCTATCTCTCAGAATCTGTGAGTGTCCTTCGTGCATGTACAGGTGCACCCGTTGAAAAAACAAAAACAAGAAACTAAAGTATCCTCGTTACAGTAAACCTCTGTGTCATTTAATCATTTTTGTTTTATTTAGTCTGTGGAGATACTTATGCGGTGTTTGTCATTTGTCTTCCTCCATCCAGAATATCCATGAGCTCCGATTTCCCACACTACAGTTTCAGGATGCCAAATATAGGGTTCCAGAACCTTCCCCTTAATATCTACATTGTGGTGTTTGGGACAGCCATCTTTGTCTTCATCCTCAGCCTCCTCTTCTGCTGCTACTTAATAAGGTAACATCCATGCACACTTTAGTTTTGAATTATGCTTAAATTTATTTGTTGTTGCTTTTTTGTGTGGGTTTGTGGCAAAAAGTGTCATACAGGTTATTTTTCCAAATGTATTTACCCTCATTTAAACTCACCTTTTTATAAAGGTACACAATTCACATGTATTTGTTCAAAGAAGATTTTGTGCAGTCTGACTTGAAAGACCACAATAGCTTTGGCTTTGTACTCTTCTGACAAGCAGGCTGTCAGTACCAATACTTCTGTGAGACCTGAAAATTATAATGAGCACTGAATGGTTATTCTCACACACTATTATCCACCAGTCCTCATAAATAGGTGTAGTCAATGTAATGTATTTTATTAATGAGAACTTAGTATTTAGTAATATATATAGCAGAAACACTGCTGTAACGTCTGCACACTGCACAACAATCATATTTTCTATACAAACTACTGAATGACACTTGGCACTATGGCTTTTAGCTGAGTCTCAACTAAAAGACTATTCTGTTTTCCTTTTTAGAAATGTGTTTCTTTTGTATGTGTTTGCTTATAGTTCTTTCACAAAAAGGCAAAATGTTTCAACAGCACAGTTTGGAGATGGTAGTTATGATACAAAATTTAGTGACTTGATAAACTGAATCGATAGTATAAACAGTAATATGCTGAGATTCAATTTGTCAACATTATCATGGTCATGGCACTTGGCGTCAAAGAAAATATTAATAGCCCCATTTTCCCCCCAAGTGCCACTTCACCTCTTTAATTTTCTCACCATATTCCTACATTATATATCATATAATTAAATTCAC